TAACTTACAGTATTTTCTTTGCAAAGTAAGAACCACACTAAGATTCTAAACCAGTTAAAAGTTAAATTTTAGAAAATACGCTTTTTGGATAAGAGCTATTTGTAGATATGTCTGTGTTGCCGAGAAGGTGTGCATCAATTTTGGAGATATGTCTGTGTTTCTGAAAATATGTGCATGAATTTTGCAGATAATATCTAATAATATCATATTATGTCTGTATTGCTAAAAATGTGTTTATCAATTTTTTAATTATCCATTCTTTTATTGTTGATTAGGAATATGAGGAACGTATGGCTGGCCCCATCGGCAACGCCTTACACTGATTTCCCCGGGTTATTTTACCCCCTTTTTAAACCCGGCTGGTAAATCTCGCCCACACAGAGAAAAGTAATCTCTTGATTTTACTATATCTGTCTTGACTCAAATAAATTATTTATTTCGATATGATACAAGAAGATATTTATTTAGTGGAAAACTTGGGTTTATTTGACTTTTTAAACTGATGGTTTGTTTAATACAAGTAAATATTTAGTTGACTTTTTATCTTACTTAAAGAAACAAAACATTTACTTGTATCAATTCTATTATTTTGTTAAAATAAGATATTTTATGCTTGTATTAACATTTGATAAAACTAAATCCCTACAACCTATATCCAAACAATTTAATTAATTGCTTTAAATAAATATTTCTTTACAATTAATCACAACAATAAGTTGTTTTCAAGAAACTCATGATTTACAACCAAATAATAGTATTTTCTTATTGTAAACAAGAAGTTACTACGAATAAGACAATTTTGCTTCATACAAGAAAAACTGTTTCAAATAAATGCATTTTCTTAAATCAAGAGATTACTTTTCTCTGTGCAGTAGGTCGTGGATGACAGTGTTAATTATTAAGGCCACTCCCGGAATTTAGTTGCCGGGCCTGGTCATACGCCCGATTTAGGCTAGTGGAGTGCGGACAAGGAGGGAAAACATTTTTGTTTTCGAGGGACATTGAACTGACCCAAAACTATGTACTATCCCCTCAACCAGGGATTTAGTAATTACCTATTCAATTGGGAATCATAAAGAAGGCTTGGTTGGTTAGTACGCTGCTAGGACCTTGCTAGTCTTAAAGAAGGTACTTCCTGTTCGTATGTGTCCGTGTCTTTGTCCGAGTCGGATTCCGATCTGGCTGACTATCGATACCGTTGCACCCCACTGTGCGGTTGTTTATTATTTCGCATAGAAAGTAATTTATGTTTCCCTTAAATGTGTTTAGTAATCCACAGGAGTTTATTTTGCCTAGTGATTATCTGAACTTAAGTGTTTAATGACTGCTTATCTAAGCCCTTATTTCTTTGGCTATGCTTGCTGTTTGTTCCTAAGGAAACTGTTGGGGACTAATTAATTTTTACCTGGTGGAGTTCTTTATAAGTTGATGTTGCGAATTTCGCATTAAAATTTAGTATTATTAAGGTCATCCAATTTTGGTAGGTTTACTTATCCGGTTTATGCAGACTTGGACTTCGGGTGCATTGACAGGCAGGTGTTGTAAAATTATTCCTTAACTTCGACAGCCAACTATTAGCACGTATTGTTTCTGTGTCGTTAATACAGGAAAAATTATTCGTTGTATCCAATAACCTCACTTACCCTTTTTCACAGGTAGAGCAGTTTGGGATTTAATCCAGGAGGAGGTGCCAGACGCAATTTGCACCCTTTTTGTAATTGGTTCTGGTAGATCACTTGTAGAATCATTCATTTTCTGAATTTGAACACCGATAGCGTTGGTAGCAGTATGAAAGTACGAACGCGTTAAACGAGACCCTAGACACACGAACGTTTGCCTTAAGGTGAGGAGGGTCACTTATTCATTCTTTTATTGTCATTTTACTAACCTACGTTAACAAAATTACTGTCACAACCTACTTATGACATTGTTGATGACAATTATGATAGGGATTATACAAATTGCAGACAGACACAAGTCTCCATGTAGGGACTAATTTCAAAAATTTATTTTTGCCACTGTTGCAGTATGAACTATGAGTAGCTTTACACTTATTGCACTACAAAACCCAAAATTCAGATTTTTTGACTTATGTCACTGTTGTCGCCCATGTGCGATGTATCTTATTCATTTTGGTATATTCCTACAATATTCTATCAATATTCAATTGTTCCATTTTTTATTTAATCTAATTAGTCTAACTGAATCGTTGAAATTAAGAATAGACCAAGTCTATTTTTTAATTTGTTTATAATTTTTCTTAAATTGTATATTTATAACGAAAAATTGATTAATGAAACAATGGACTTTTTCCACGGTGTATAAGCCCGTGACTTGAAATGTTCTTAATTTTACCGATTCAATTAAAATTTTAAAAAAATTGACCAAATGAATATTACTACAATGTTGTAGGAATATTGAAAAAAGCATCTTCCTTCTTCTGCATAGGCGTGTTTCGCCAATGAAAGTTTGTTTAGATTATTGAAAGTTTTATTAGATAATTGCTTCCTGTCTGCTAAAAGTATTGTTGTTATTTTTAACTTTTTTATTATTTGCGGAGACATGTGCAGTGCTAAAGTGCGATAAAAACGTGCAATTAAAGAATATTAAAATGATTGTGGACCAATGGCTAGCCAAAGCGCCAGAACGTCTTAAGAAGATTGAAACGCAATACTGCAATTTTTTAAAATTGATATTTTTGTTTTAACTATTAATAGTTAAACAATTTTTTATAAGAATTAATTTTGTTTTATTTTTTATTCATTTTAATAATATATTTAGGTTTTAAATAATACCTTTTTGATAATATATGCTACTTTTTATTCATGAAACATATATCACAACCATATCTTAAATACAGCTGTGTGTCCACGGATGGACTTTACTTGTAAAAATATTTATTTTCAATTTTTCGAGGAAAAGTCATTCTTCATCATTTCTTTTGCTTGTTACTTATATAAATTCGATTCGCGATGAGAAACTTTTATTTTGTAATACAGGGCGAGGAAAAAAAATACAATTTTAGATTTTGCAAAATTAAAAAATTTTAAATACATTTTTTGAAGGTCTAATATCAAGAGCTTGTTAGGAGAAACCAAAAAGCCAAATGTTTTTTTATGCAGGTTGTTGTTACTAAGATATTTGTTATTATAAATAAAATCGATTCAGCTTGAGTGGTCGTATTATTTTGTAGAAATTGACTGCTATCTCATTTTGTGATTATGAATGAAGGTTGTGCTTTGAACTGACATGTCTACAATTACTTGTTAAAATTTTAAAACTAATATCTTTAATTTTGAAAATTTAATATCTTGGTATCAAAAACTCATACAAAAATACTTCATTTGACTTTTTGATTTTCCCTTACCAGCTCTTTATATTAGCGCTTATAAAAAAATTATTTAATTTTGAAAATCTGTATTTTTGCTCACCCTTTGTAGCAAAATAAAAGTTTCTCATCGCGAATCGGATTTATATAAGAAGCAAAAGAAATTCTGAAGAATGACTTTTCCTCGAAAAATTGAAAATAAACATTTTTACAAGTATAGTTAAGTCCATCCGTGAACACACTGTATATCAGGAATAACCAAAAAACATTCGTTTGGGAAAATGTCCATAAAATGTTGGATCATACTCCAAGAATATTCTAAAAATATTCCAAACTGCTAAAAACATGCTATAAACATTCTCCAGGTTCCAGGTAGATGATATTTGGTTATAATCGCTTGAATATTTATATTATATCCCGAATATGCTAAAAATATTTTTAAGGGAATGTTCCAAGTGACTTATAGTTAAATATTTCTGGAATATTCAGAATATCCTTGAAATATTCACAAAGGAATATTCTTAGAATATCTGACGAATTCCTATTAGACTTTTAGAAAATCTGACGAATTTCCATTGGGTTTTTCTAAGAATATTATATAGAAATATCTAATGTTCTTTGGGCTCATCATCATTTTGAACGGTAATATAATATAATATAATATAATGCCAATGTGGGTTGGTTGGTTGGTTTGTTTTAGTTTTATAGTAAAAATTACATGAAATCGTAAAATTAGACGTCAGTCAAGATCGAACTTAAGTGCCCCATATACTGTAGACATAGCTTAACGAAAACGTTAAATAGGTATGTTTTATAAACATATATCGAAAAATGACTTCATACGGAGCTAAGACCCCCTAAGGGAGTTCTAAGAGGATGAATTTATTCCTTGAACATAAAGAAATATTTGTTGATACTTTTTTAATATGCTGAACTCCAGACCTAAAATATAAACTGAAAAAATTCATCATAGTCCTACCATTCGGGGGTGTAGAGGTACAAAAACAGTTTAAAATATTTTTCTAAAATTATTAAAATTTAAAACTTTTCACTAAAAAAAATAAAAAATAATATAATATGGGTTGCTACTTATATTTAATACAAATTTGAGATGGGTATGCTAAAGAGAGTAATTTATGAAACTAGAAGAAAGTTGGGGTTATTGTAAACATTTACCATCCCCCCAAATTTTACGCCTATGATTTTGACTGTTTTAATTTTGGATATCAAAAGAATTAAAAATATTTTTTTTGAGGTCAACCCTTTAGGAATACTTTAAAAAATCATTCCTTTATTCCCCACTTTGGCCGTAACTCGGTCATATTTATTAAACAAACCAGTATTTTTTTTTATGCTGATGGCACTTTTGCTTCCTAATTTCGGGACACTCTATATGAATGTTTAATTAATTTATTAATTAATACATTGATCCATGTATTATTCAATTTAAGCGCAAACTAGATTTGAAGTTTGACCTGCTAACAATAACCCTTTGTTCTAAAATAATCGATAGAACTTTAGAAAGCTGTCAGCATCATGAGAAGTTCTCAAACACAAAGTTTTTACTACAAAACCGTTAATATTTTCGATAAAGTAGCAAACATTTTTTTAAAAACTTTACGACTAATGGCTTATTGTTGATTATATTTATTGCAAAAAATACCCAACTTACCCGAGTTGTTCTGGACATACTGTTTGACCATTTAATCGATAACCAATTAGACTGGGAACTTTATTGCCATCATATTTAACCGTTATTTTAATGGTTAGTGAAGCTTTGGGCTTTAATAGATAAGTGGGATTTTTAATCAGGAACTCATCGTTTTTTGGTGATCTTGACACTACTTCTCCAAATTGATCCTAAAATTATATAACACTTGGTAAACGTTTTATTTATAAGCAATATTATTTTTTATAAAAAATACATAATAATTATACTAGTCTAGTTTCAAAATCGGCCATCTCCAATTTTTATTTTTAATCGAAATATTACGTAGTATATTAGTGCCAAATTATATCCCAACAAAAACGGCTATTTATGTTAGTTTCAATAACAGCAATCTCCAATGATTTTAAGTACAAAAATGTACTTAAAATGCCCATCTTCCTTTTAAAATGTATGTTTTTTAAATTAAAACTTAAATCTAGTCACTTATTTTGTAGAAAAAATATTTTCAGTTGCCATATGAACAAGTTTTTCAAAATATATTTATTTTTTACCCATTACTGTTTGGAATGGTTTTTTGACGTTTACTTAGAATATTTAAGGAAATGGCCGCTTTTGAAATTAGACGATTAATTTTAAAACAAACATTTTAGTATATAGGTATAGCTCTTACTTGTTTTATATTAAGTTGGGTTCGAAGCAAGGTAATGGAACGCTTAAATGAGGTTTTACCTATACCTAAACCCATAGCATATTATTCTTTAAACAGAATACAAGTACATCTGGAAAAATAGTTGCTTAAAAAGTAGTGATGCTGCCAATACGAGAGATTCTCTCCTCTCGTCTCGTCTCGTCTCTTCTCGACGAGACGAGAGGGCGATTTTCTCTCGAAAAAAGGCTCGAGACGAGACGAGAGAATGCCCTCTCTCGCTCGAGAATTTCTCGTTTCTCTCGATCTCTCTCGTTTTCTCGATTTCCCGGTAATAAGTAAACAATGCGCATGAGGAGCGCATGCGCATTATTCAAAATTTTAAATTAATTAAATCGATTTTAAGATTCCCGACCTCCAAATTTCAAATCTTGCCAATTCGGATATCGTCGAAACGTTTTTCTGGACAAACTAAATCGACCAATGAGAACATTATTCGCATTTCATAATAAACAAAATGTGTTCCTGGTAAACGTTAACCAAGAAAGAAATACTTAAGCACATCTATGGCACTCCTTTAATATACATTTCTTCAAAAAATAAAATGGCTGATCCAATATGACGAAAATTTGTCGGTTTGGGTAAAATTTAGTATTTAGATATTTATGCGGTCTCTAATTAAGAATTTGATATCCATTAAAAAACAAAATTGCGGATTTAAAATGACGGACATCTATGCGCAGTAGATACAAGATGGTTGGACCTATGTGGAGTAGTTACATCCAGTATACAGGCGCAGTAGTTTTCAGATAATTTGATCCATCCATTTGAAAACTACTGCGCCCTGCGTAGATGTAACTACTCCACATAGATTCAACAAATTGATTCAAATGCTCGACATTTTCGGCGTATAAAGTCTTACTTTATTATTATTTTTTATTTCCAGTTTAAATTTCTATAGAAAAAAGTATAAACGAATTCGTATTTAATTCCAAATAATTTTTGTATTCATACATAGCTACTTTTACCACGCACATCCCAGTACTTGACAGAGCAAGCCCTATCTTAGCAGCGCGAGCTCTTAAAAACCATATCCAACAAATAACAAAAAGTGCAAACAAACTATAGGGTTAGATGTTTTTAACAAATTATCGTCATAAAAATACCCATAATAAAAAGTTTTTAAAAATGTATTTTTTCCGTCGATAAACCATAGTGGGACGGTGTTGTAGCGAATTTCTCCAATCCAATAATTATAGTTTTTTAATGTTAACTTTTTACATAAAGTATGTCTACAATTTTTAGAAGAATCAAAAAATTTAATAATTTGGAGTACGAATTCATTTCATTCCATTTGGCTGATACACACTGTATAAATAAATCACACTATAAATAAATCGTTTGAATATCGTTTTTTAAAAAAAAAAATTTAGTCCAATTTAAATATAATTTGAAAAAATTTCGTGACTTTATCTGTTATCTTTATAGTGTTATTTTAACGCAATAAAATAAAAATTGAAAAATTGGCATTTATGACAACAGCTCGTGTACATATTTATATTTGGGTATTTTTTGCTCCTGGCGACTTTGTCAAAAAATTTGTAAACAACATTATTTGATAAGTGCTTTCGAAAAAAAACATGCTTGCATTTTTTTACTTTTTTTTTAATTTTGTTTGATACTCCTAAAAATACATATTTCAAATCATTATAATCATCATATAATTTATTAAAGGAGTCAGGAGCAAAAATGATTTTTTAAACGCGCGGTTGTTTTGAGTCAATTTTTATTTAATTGTGTTAAAACAATAAAGTAGATAGATAAAGCTAAAAAAGGTGAAAAACATCATTCATAGTATATTATGTATGAAGTTTGATAAACGCCCTTTTAGTCACGAATTTAAATTAGTCTTGAGCGAGCTTGGGAGCTATTGTTTAATTAAATGAGTGTCTATAAAAGTTTATAAACTAGTTGCATACTGTACTTTTTGTACAAAAAATATTTATTATTATCTAAACATAATTTAAATTAAATATTTTTATAGAGCGACATCTATACAATAATACTCTCTAAAAATGAAACAGTGGATTTTCACTGATTGACAGTGCATATTAACTATTTGCCGCAGTGATAAGTAGCAATTAGTGAATACTCACTTTTTCATGTAGCGATTTCTTTGCACTAATTTATTTAGTGGAAATTACACTTTTCAAATTAGTGAAATAGGTTTAGTTCAAAAAAGTTAAAATTTCACTATTTTATATCGAGAGTTCCGGAAAAGTAGTGATAATAAAAAACACTAATTTGGAGAAGTTAAAATTTCACTAATTTATATTGAAAAACACTAATTTTACAGTGAATAATGACTCACTGACGGAAATAGTGAACATTTCACTGTTTCACTTTTAGAGAGTAGAGTAACCGTATTACGGTTACCGTAATAATGGGAATCTGTATTACCGGCGGCAAATGTCAAATTTTTTTGTGCAAATCGATATTTTTCTCTTGAAAACAACCGTTTAAATCCGATAAAGAAGCAGTTTTTTACAGTAAAACAGTCTTATATACAACCGTAGGTACTTGGGCGAAATTAAAAGGCGTTGAGAACCTAATTAGTATTTTTACTATAAAGATCATACAATAATTTTCACATTTAGTAATATTTCACAGGAAGGCTACTTTTTTTTAACGATATTTGAGTAAATATGCCGTACCTAGAACGCAAAGATTTGTCTGTTAACTTCCGGCTCAAATAGTCGCCTGTCAATGTGGCGCGGCGCTGAACAATATTATTTATCATTGACCCAAAGAGCGATCACAAGAATGTTTAAACGGTTTCTTAATCTTTAGCTTTCAGAGCTTCTTTTACCAAATATTTTTATTTAATTTTCGTAGGGAGAACTGGGCGAAATTAGCATTTTGTTATTAAAAAAGAATAAAACAGTGGCAAAAAAATAATAGCACGGTTTAAAAAATAATTTACAAGAGAATACTTTAAATCAAATGCTATCGATTTTTTAAATCTTACATTGTGAATAAACAAATGAATTCATTAAGTTTTTCAAAAAATGTTATGTGGTAACTTTGTACTTACTTAATGATGTAGGTATTATGTATTAATATTTATTTGTAATTTTTATGAACTTTTTTTCTTGAATTTTGTATTGAAAATTATCTTAAAAAATAACTAAACTAAAAATGGAAACCTATGTAATCTTGGATATACAACCTACCAACTGCTACTTACTTGTAGAATTAATTCTTTGACGGTTGCATCAAATTTGACCCGGATCCATAGTCCTTGTAATGCGTGATCGCTTGAGAATTTTAGCATTCCCTGCCATTGTTGTGGTTCATCTCCACCATCGACATACTGAAATAGGTCGGGACAGGGGGAAATTTTTAAAGCTGAAGCTGCATTTAGCGATACCAGTGCTGCCGCCACGCAGACCATCAACAAAGCTTTAAGAAATGGATTCTGGAAAGAAATTGCCAGATTTACAGTTAGCTGCTCTTAACTGGCAAATAGGTCTTTGTTTTGGGGTTTTTTAATTCAGGAGCCCTTTTAAACTTAACGATTTGCTGTTTTTGAGCTTAAATTAAATTAGTTATCACATTTTAAGCAAAAGGAAAAGCCAAAGTTAATACAAAATAATGAATTATTTGGCTTTTCCTTTTGCCTAAGATGTGATATTAGTCATTAAAAAATTACTAAATGGGTTATTTTTTAATTTAAAATTAAATAAAATATATTCTTAACAAAATATCCTTGGGGGTCTCCATATAACACAAGATCGATAAATTTAATTTTGTTTTGACGAATATTGTTCTAAAATAAAAAAAAATGGTTATAACAACTGTTATTGCCCTTGCCACTGTCTTTAATTTAATTGCTTTGTAGTGCTTATGTAGGTAATATGGCTGGGACACCCTGTATTTAAAAGCAATAAAAATTGGTAAAGGGTGGTAGTCCTAAGTAATAATTCGTTATTACTTTTGCTCTGAAAAAAGCCCTAATAGAACTCTTCGAAATTTCGACCCCAAAAACAAATCACAGTTGGCCATCAGTTTAGTCGTAAAACAAGTGACATTCGTCTAAGGGCTATTTGAAAAATTTACAAAAATCGGTTAAAAATCCTTAGTCGGACACACTGTTACCGGCCACCATAAATTTGCCAGAATTTTACTGTTGATTTACTCGCGAACCGCTCATCTAATTTTGAGGTTTTTCTTTAATTGTATAAGTACTATCTCCAAAACTTAGTGTCAATAATATTATTTCCTTTAACTTAAATTTGTTTTTTTTTATCCTTCAGATGCTTTTGAAATTTTTGGAATTGTAAATAATTTAAAAAATAAAAAATCTAGCTAGTCCTCTTAGCCATATTATAAATCTTTGTTTTTTAAGTGGAATTTTTCCAGATAGCCTAAAGATGGCTATTGTTAGGGTTGTACACAAAAAGGTTCCGAAAGCAATATAAATAATTATAGACCTATTTCATTATTTCCAATTTTCTCAAAATTTTTTGAAATTGCAATATCTACCAGACTTATGAATTACTGTAATAAATACAACATAATTTCAAAACAACAATATGGTTTCGTAAAAAACAGCAATACTGAATTGGCAATATTTAATTTGGTTGATCAAATTATGGGATTATGGAATAGTAAAATACTGTCAGTTTCTGCCTTTTTTGACCTATCCAAAGCCTTTGATACCATCGATAAGCATCTCTTGGATATTAAATTAGAAAAATATAGTTTAAGAGGCACTGCGCTAAATTTATTTACATCATATTTAAGTAACCGTAAACAAATAGTAAAGTTAAAACCCGATTGGTTCAAATAACAGTGAATATTGAAATCAGCCAAACACTGATGCCTAACAACGTGAATGAGTTCAATATTTCCGTTGTTAGGCCTGGCGGTTATTTTGGTTACCATTATTTAAGAAAAAACCCAAATAATGTCAATAATATAGGTACAATAGGAGTAGAAAGAAGGTTTTAAAACACAGAATTACAAACGTACCTACCTATTATGTACCCGGCAAAAATTTCTCAAGTGTGCCACTTAAAAATTGCCATTTTTTATCGATTAATACGGTTTTCAAACGGTTTAGAAATAAAAACAACTTTCCTAAAATATTTTTGCAAAACATTTTTTCAATAATTGTTTTGATTAGGTACTCCCGAACGATTCATCAAAACTTAACATTTTATTTATCAAAATTTTCGTTAAAAAATATAAATTAGTTGTTAGGGGCAAACCTTTAAAAAAAATAAAACTATTTTTTAAAACAATTAAAAAAAACGTCTTCGCCTGCAAGGAAATTTTTTTTACATTTTATCTGATTTTACAATCCCTTCCGAAAATTTTGGTAAAAAAGGGTATTATTCTGTAATAAAAGGTATTATTTTGTAATAGGTCAAAAGTTATAAATGTTTTTGTGACCGCGCGTTTTTGTGACCGCGCGTTTTTGTGACCTCTAGCATTGGACGCGAGTCTGAAGTTTAGAGGTCGGAGCGCGGTCACAAAAACATTTATAACTTAAGACCTATTACAAAATAATAACTTTTTTTTGGGATTGTAAAATCAGATAAAATGTGAAAAAAGTGTTTTTTATTAATTTTCAATTGTCAATTGTATAAAAAAATAGTTTTTTTAAGGTTTGCCCCAAACAACAAATTTTTTATCGTAAAGTATATTTTGATACAAAGTTATATATATATATATATATATATATATATATATATATATATATATATATATATATATATGTAGGACCACTTGACTTCTGGTCTAAAAACGTCCCCACTTGGCGTCCTGCTTAATACATATAAAAACTAAATACTTTCTTAGCGTCACATAACTTCCATACTAAAGTCGCCAAAAATAAGATTACTTATGAGTCATACGTTATGAAATTGCAACGTCGCTTTCAACCAATTGAACTAAAATAAGAAACCATCCTTATTTAAGCTATTTGATACATTACTATAATGAAAGGAACTGCAGCTAGTCTAGGTTTTTGTATCTTCCCCTGACAGGTGGCAAAAGTGGTGCATGAAGCAATTTTGCGAAGAAGAAAGAGTATCTTTTTGTTTTGATTTATTATGGACCAAAAAGCCATACAAGATATTAAATATTACATAATTAAAACTTAACCTACAATTTATTTCATATAAATAAAACCGGCAGACATGAAAAGATTTTATTTTATAGTTTTAAATGTATCTATCCATGTTTGTTTTAATTTAAAATTTACTTATTAAATTAATATTAGGTATATTCTACTTATGTTAATAATAATACCAAATATTTATTTTGCTTGAAGAAAGCTTTTCTCACAAGTGAAACACAATGTTTTTTCTCCGACCCTTTTATTTTTCATTATTTTCAAATACAAAACAAAATAACCTAAAAACGTGTTTGACAGCTGAATGTCAAACAATGCTGTCAATTTCTTTTCACACAAACTTGTCACTTTACATTCGAGTTTTTCGTTGCCAAAGAAAATATTCATTTTCTAAGCAACGATGTCATTACGAAATGTGACTCTTACATAGTGGTCGTAGAAAAACTATATTTTTAAAGTGCACTTTTTTGTGTAGGTATTCTTTATTATAATAGGTTTTTGAGTTTATTTATGATTACAAAGATTTATTTATAAAAAAATATTTTTTTTGTTAAAGTTAAGTTTTTAAAATTGAAAATCTACTTAGGTATTAATAAATTAGATTTGTATTACTTATGTTATGTTATGTTATTGTTGCCATTAAAAATATTATATATAGGTACACTATTTTTTATTAAATTTTTGCTTATACAATATATATGTATGTACTTACATTTTTATTAGCTTTAAGTTTGAACCAAATTACTAAAATTTATTTTATTCAACACCGCAACCCGTGGGCGAAATGTTACTTTGCCCATGGGATGAAGTAAGTAAGCTTTAAATTAAAAAAGATGTCAAATGTCAGATAAAATATCAAATAAAACTGGCTTTAAATTACTTGCGCCATACTTTTTTCGGTTCTTCTATTGTTCATAATTTGTTTTTAGACTGATACTTATGTATATTTTCCTGCTAAGCAAAAGAGCCGTATCAGCTTTATACGGCAGTATATTTCTTGCGGTAGTTAAATAAAATCTTGTGTGCGACTATTGGTAGATAGTTCACTTTCGTGGTACCTACCGCACTCGCTACGCTCGTGCGGCTAACTTCACGCTCGAGGAATCTGTTTTTACTCCCACTTGTCGCACATTATACTATTTTTATCCTTTTTAACATAATGTGAAAAGGATAAAAAATACTATATATACACATTATAATGTGCGACTAGTATAATGAAATCTATTTTTAAATGTATTTAGTGAAGTTTGCCATCTGTTGATAACATTTTTTTTTGTATTAAAACTCTACTGATTAAAATAAATAAATGCTCATTTATTTTATATTAAATTATAAAATTTAAATGTAATTGCTCATACAATATTTATGGCATTAATTTATTATTTGCAAGTTTTAAATCGATATAATTAATTTGATCGAAATATTTGTACTTATTTAAAAAAGTAAATCTCTAAAAAGAATTAATGCAAACCTAAATAGCATTCAATGATTGAATTTCAATCTATTTATAACTTGTTTATATTAACGACACCGTTGTCAAATTTGCTTTTCATTTAAGGGCGCTTGGTAAACCTAAGATTGAAAATAATGTTATATACACAAGGCGATAGTAGTGACACTCTAACGCAAACCCTTGAATTAAAATATAAACAGAATTCATTAAACGACCAAGTTAAACTCTTTTTAAAATTTAGTTTTTCTGCATCTCACAGCCATCTAGCGCTTATTGGTAAATGTTTTTGGTAGAGTCCAGTCGGCGTCCGTATAACGGACGCCCAGTGACCAAAGGACGCCGTTTGTATACGAAATTTAACATTGGAGGACGCCTAGTGGGATTTTATATATATATATATATATATATATATTAGGGTGTTTCAAAAAAAATTAAAATAATTTTTTTTTCTAATGGTGTTGAAAAATTAATAGTACAATAAAAAACAAAAATTTTGGCGCATATTTGAGCCTTTAATATTAATATTATATATTCATTTCTTGTTTTTCCATTTTAATAACACGGGAATTTTTATTTTTTAAATTTTGAATTCTTATAATTTTGGAATGGTTTGTTTTCGCAACACCCAAGCGAGAGGAGTTATAAACATTTTCACGCTCTACAAAAAACATCTGAAGGTCAAAGTTCTTCAGGTCAACCGTTTCAAAGATATCAGCGATCAAAAATAACACTAATAAAAATATTTTCAAATAAAATACAAAAAAATATCATATGCCATATTTATAATATTTTTTATGTAAAATCATTAATTTTGTCAACCTGAGACTGTAAACTTTTTTTTATTTATATATAAGTACATATACAATGTATATTATACATATATATATATTAGGGTGTCCCAAAAAAAAAGAATATATTTTTTTTTCTTGTCTCTTGTAAAAGTATGTTAGTTTATCAGGCTGTGAGATCCCTTTCAAAATATTAGCTCGATTAAAAATTTTGTAGGGGTCGCTCAAGATTTTAAAAAATTTTCAAAATGGTCAAAAATTGAATTTTTGTTTTATTTTAATTCTTTTTCTCGTCTCGATATTATTTTTTAGGTTGAAAATAATAAAAATTCTGTAAATTTCAAATCAATATTTTGATTTCTAAAGGTCGCTAAAAGTTCGTTGATATTTATATTCAGAGGTCGCTCGAAAACATTCAAAATACTATACTTTGAAAGTTAAAAAAATCTTGAGCGACCTTTAGAAATTAAAATATCGATTTGAAATTTTCAGAATCATTATTATTTTTAAATTAAAAAATAATATCGGAAAGAGAAAAAAAATTAAAATAAAAAAAAATCCAATTTTTGACGATTTTGGTAATTTTTAAAAATCTTGAGCGACCCCTAAAAATTTTTTAATGGTGCTGATCTTTTGACAGGGCTCTTAAAACATGACAAACCAACATATTTTCACAAGAGACGAGAAGAAAAAAAATATTCTTTTTTTTCGGGACACCCTAATATATATATATACATTAGGGTGGCCCAAATTTTGATTTCTAAAGGTTGCTCAAGATTTTTTTAACTTTCAAAGTAGAGTATTTTGAATGTTTTTGAGCGACCTCTGAATATAAATATCAACGAACTTTTAGCGACCTTTAGAAATCAAAATATTGATTTGAAATTTACAGAATTTTTATTATTTTCAACCAAAAAAATAATATTGAGACGAGAAAAAAATTAAAATAAAACAAAAATTCAATTTTTGACGATTTTGAAAATTTTAAAGAATCTTGAGCGACCCCTAAAATTTTTTTAATCGAGCTGATATTTTGACAGGGCTCTTACAGCATGATAAACTAACATATTTTTATAGGAGAAGAGTAAAAAAAATATTCTTTTTTTTGGGCCACCCTAATATACATATACATATAATATGTCATATATACATAAAAAAAAGTTTACACTCTCAGGTTAACAGAATTAAAGCGATTTTACATAAAAAATAATATAAATATGGCATATCGACCCATGCAACGAAGACTATAGTAACTCAAAAAACGTGGGTTTTGACATACTATATGGCATCAAAAGATTTTTTCAAGCTCTATTTGGTGGAAGATTACAGTGACTCAGACATGAAACGTGAGAAACATGAAAAGTGTAATAATCCACATTCCTACAGGCGAAAACTATATTAAGTTGAGTTACTCCAGTCTACAATCAAAACTAAGTTACAATAGTCTTCGTTGCATGGGTCGATATGATATTTTTTTGTATTTTATTTGAAAATATTTGAAATTTTTTATTAGTGTTATTTTTGATCGCTGATATCTTTGAAACGGTTGACCTAAAGAACTTTAACGTTCAGATGTTTTTTGTAGAGCGTAAAATTGTCTATAACTCCTCTCGCTTGGGTGTTGCGAAAACAAACCATTCCAAAGTTATAAAAATTCAAAATTTAAAAAATAAAAATTCCCGTGTTATTGAAATGAAAAAACAACGAATGAATTGAGGCAAACCTTAATATTAATATTAAGGGCTCAAATATGCGCCAAAATTTTTGTTTTTTAATGTATTATTAATTTTTCAACACCATTAGAAAAAAAAATAATTTAAGTTTTTTTTTAAACACCCTAATATATATATAAATATATATATATTATATAAGTTTTGATGAACATTCACAAAAATATAATTATCAAAAAAATATTTTAGGAAAGCTGTTTTTACCCATAAATCTATTAAAAACCGATGAAAAATGAGACCACTTGAGAAATTTTGAGCCACCCCCCATTTACTTATATGACTGTCAAACTCATTTTAACTATTATAATTGGACAAAAATGTTTTAGTAAAAAACATCAATAAATTTTGATTATCCCGATAACGCATCTTTTTTAGAAATTTACATAAAGTTGCACGTTTTGAAATAATTTGCCTATAACTAGGACAATAATTGTAAAATTATTTTAACTGATTAATTGACAATTTTGACCACAAGCAACTACAACTTAATTTGTATAAAAATTAAAAAAAATTGACCTTTAGCTGAATAAAAATTTTACTTACCATATCAAGTACACCAAAGACTAGTAACTCTGAAGTAAACTCACAGACACTTCTTTAGCAAATGATGTGATTTTTATTTAAAACAAGTCTTTGGGGACTCAAGGTCTTTGTTTTTAAATTACCAATAACAAGAAGTTATAAATGGGGAATACCCAATTTAATTTTATGTAAAAAAATAACTTGTTTATAAATAAATATAATACTGTTACACATATAATTATACCGGTAAACCGGTAAAACAAAATTTGATATTATTTCTAACATTATCCTTTTAACAATATTTTGATTTTGGGATGTTTGTAATTATAATTACATTAATGTATACATTAATGTTATTAACATAATTTTAAGAGTCACCAAACCGTATAAACAATTTGTAACACATAATTAATTAATTAAATAATTACAATCTATGTATTTTTTAGTTGTTTATTAATTGTATTAATCAGTAATAATAATAACATGGTCTTGATTTTATAAATAATAAAATAATTTTTTTTTATATCTTTGCCCATTTTCGTTCTATATATTTTATAATGATAATTATTAAATATATAATAATATAATTAAGGTAACTACCTAATTTATTTGTTTGGACCAAGTTTAAAAGTTTTGTAAAGGTTACAGATTATTTTGTAAATGTTAAACAAATTCTTTTTTGAAAAAGTACACGTGATTTCAGGCAACCAACACAGTGGCGGCTGGTGGATTTTATGTATACCAATATCTCAGTTATTAGACATGGGACCCACACCAAATTTATAATAGTTTATAATAGTTTATAATGACATTAAATAAACAAGTTCGGCGCAAGCAGAATTTAAATTAAAGTTTGCGAAAAAAAGTTAGTTTTTCCTGTCGCCTCACCCAAAAACTAACTTTTTTTCGCAAACTTCAATTTAAATTCTGTTTGCGCCAAACTTGTCTATTTAATGTCATTATAAACTATAAATTTGGTGTGGGCCCCATGTCTAATAACTGAAATATTGATATACCCAAAATCCACCAGCCGCCACTGAACCAACATTTCCCACCGACTTTTTTTTTCATCATACATCTTCTATTGCACATACAATTGCGCATTGATGCATTTCCGTGTATTTAAGCATATTTATTGTTCTAATTTGTATATTTTGTGTTATCTGTAAGCTTGCAAACAATAAATATTTTTATTATTATTATATTATTATTATTATTATTATTATTATTATTATTATTATTATTATTATTATCTTGCTTCAGCACAACAATACACATCAGCTCATCAAGTTCAACTGACTTCGGCTTCTGCAGACAATATGTTGCATGCAACATATTGTTCTGTTTACTTCTGATTTGTAACTCCTGCATAATAACTGGAGAGTATGTAATATATTACCAGAAATCTATTATTATTGTTTTTCGGATTCCTTATATCTATTAAACGAGTGTGCGAAGTATCTGAAAAAAGATGCCTTCACTGGTTTTCAAACTAAACTAAGAAAATATAGTGAAGTGGGTTAAAGTTACGAAATTGTTGTAGTAGTACTGAAAATTATATTGTGCCAAATTTCTTTATAATTTTATAGTTTTAGAATAATGTGTTATTTAATTCTGTGTATGTTATTTTTGTGTTCATTTATGTAGGTAGTACCTACAGGTACGCGTATGTGTATGTGTATTTTTTTTTAGAAATTGATTAAGAAAGCAACATTTCTCATTAAAATTTCCAACAAATACTTTTGTTACTGGGTTTGTAAAAATAAGCTCCTTTTTAAAAATTCCAAGAATTATGTTTAAATTTTGAAATGTTTAATGTTCTTAATTTTATGTCTGTAAAACAAAAAATTATCTATAGAACATTGGAGTTTATACACAAAATAAAAATTTGTCTTTTACCTAAGTATCTTTTGGATAACATAACGTATACTTTTGAAGTTTATAAGTATGACACTAGGAACAGAATAGTATATTCTGTAACAAGTTTGGAATACGGCATATTCCGCTCGAGTGAAAAGTTTGTCACACGAGCCGAAGGCGAGTTTGACGGTTTCACGAGAGGGGAATATGCAATTCCAAACGTGTTTCAGACTATACTTTTTCTACGTTTTCAAAAAATACTATAGACAAATAATTTAATTCTGTCATCAGATCATAGAATATTTCATTCTGTAACACTTTACGGAATATATGTCATTCCATAGATAAAAGTGATATTAGAACGGTCATATTCCATAATACACAGAAAAAGAAAGTACATAATATTAATGTTTTTTAATATTGTGACAATTTATGCGCACATTAAAATAGAGCCGATGCACAATTGCGCATTGATGCATTTCCGTGTATTTAAGCATATTTATTGTTCTAATTTGTATATTTTGTGTTATCTGTAAGCTTGCAAACAATAAATATTTTTATTATTATTATTATTATTATTATTATTATTATTATTATTATTATTATTATCTTGCTTCAGCACAACAATACACATCAGCAAGTTCAACTGACTTCGGCTTCTGCAGACAATATGTTGCATGCCAATACATCTCGCCGTTGTCCTGGTCATTTACATCTCGGTTTGTAGTCTGCAGTGCTGACTACTACAGCATATATATATATATATATATATATATACATGCACGGCTATCAATACGAAGCCCGGTGCATTACACTGGCTAGTCGAAGCCCGGTAATGCGGGACGGGGCGGTTAACTGTTCGTTGGTGCATAAACAACAAGAGACACACTCCGCTGTGTATTAGAAGCCCTGCGGTGTTGCCAATGTCTAAATTTATAATTATAGGCAAATTTGATTTAAAATACCTAGACTATACCTAAACTTAACCTATATTTTTAAATACTGACGTAGGTATACTTAAATATTTAATAATATTGTTGAATTATAATTATTATAATAAAAATTATTATAATAATAATAATAAGAATATTATTAGAATTATTGTTGAGGTTAGGCAATTTTGTGTAAAACTTAAATGGGAATCAAAATAAGTGAAACTGACTGAATATTTTTTTCATGAATTATAAAGACATCTAGTTTTTTTTAATTATTAGATTTAAATACAACAAAAATTCTAAAAAATCTAAATAATGACGTATACTTTAATACACTGCCCCACAAAATTATCGCATAATAAATATAAAAAAAATTAACTTTTAAACGCCTTTACCAATCTTTATGAAATTTTGAATAAAAATACTTCAACTTATATCTCAATTTACGTGTTAGAGGGTTTTTCGAGAAAATATGTTTAAAGCCTTTTTATTTAATAATGAAAAAATGTTCGAAATATAACTTTTAGGGAATTTTTTTAAATAAATATAAAATATGCTGTTAAAGAGCGTATTTTTTTTAGTACACCCTGAAAATTTTGTACAAATCAAACGAACATTAACGAAGATACAGCCCTTCAAAGTCGGTAAAAATGACGCCTTTTTGATTATTTTGCTGAAAAGTGGTCATTTTTCACGACTTTGAAGCGCTGTATCTTCGTTACTGTTCGCTTGATTTGTACAAAATTTTCAGGGTATACTAAAAAAATACGCTCTTTAAGAGCATATTTTTTATTTATTTAAAAAAATTCTCTAGAAGAGATTTTTTATTAAATAAAAAGGCTTTAAACATATTTTCTCGAAAAACCCTTGAACACCTAAATTGAGATATAAGTTGAAGTATTTTTATCCAAAATTTCATAAGGATTAGTAAAGGCGTTTTAGAGTTAATTTTTTTTATTTATTATGCAATAATTTTGTAGGGCAGTGTATTTAAAAATCGTTAAAAATAGTGTGATTTATAATTATTTTAATAAAAACTATTATATTATTGAATGAATTATAAGTCATTATTTAAAAATATTGTCTAAATTTATAATTATAGGCAAATTTGATTTAAAAGACCTAGACCATAGTTGAGGAGCATCCGTGGAAAACCGGCTATATCCATTTTAATAAATGTTGGGAAAATTTAGGAAAACTAAACCAAATTAAAAGTTGAAAAATAAAAAAAAAGAAGTGGGGAAAATTGCTATTTAGTTTAGCATCCTATAAAAAAGAAAAATGTATTACAAACCAAATATTGTTTTATAGCTACATTATAAAGTTAAAACTGCCTTTTATCCAATAAAAATCGTAGATAAAATATTACTTTAACCAAAACGGTTGATAAAATAATATTGTAATGGTAAGTATAAATGGACAATCCTTATCTAAAAGGAACCAAGCGCCAAAAACTATTTTTGAATTTTTTGTAAAATAACTCATTTTTAATAATGCTCAAAAAATTTATCATTATTTAGAACTTAGCATTAAAAATGAGTTAGGTATATACAAATAAGTTTGTTAAGCTCCGAACAAGTTTTTGGTTCCTTTTAGATAAGCACTATCCAAATAAAGAACCCAATTTCTTATTGTTGTTTGGTCGTTTGGTCGTTGTTTGCCATGTATAAATAAATTGACCAGTTGTGAATGTTAATTGACAAATTGCCATGAGAAGCAATCTGTCAAAAAGCAGTTTTTGCAATTCAATGTTACATGAAAATGATATTTAATAAAAATAATTTTTAATTTATTTCATACCGCTATTGGAAAGTTTTTAAATAAATTAAAAATTATTTTTATTAAAATTGGAAATGTTTCAAATAAATTAAAAATTATTTTTATTTAAATTATTTAAATGTAACATTGAATAATAATAATAATAATATATACAAATCCCCTTGTTTCCCCAATTAAAACTATGTAAAATATCTGGACAACTTGTAAAACCGCCCAAAAGAAAAATGCACTCCAAATAATATTTCAAAAATAAATATTTCTTTAAAATTAAGTGTATTACGAAAGTATTTAACAAAACATTGCCTTTTAATCCACGCCATGTAGTGAACAAAACATAATTTTGGAAATATAACAATTATTTTGAAAATCAGTAGATACAAATTTAAGAATCCCGCATTATTTTCCCCGCCTTCCTATCAAAAAGTCATCGAGCGTATAGTCCTCATTGTTGCCAGATGTACGGGCTTCGTATACTGCGTAATACTTATACAAAGCTGTATATAATCTCGTTTAACTCGGGGCACCGCCAAAGCATTGGAACTAAGGGTGTATATTTTGATAGGTTTGAATGGCATTAGGAAGCCCACCACTTTTTCGCCATTGAAACAAGGGGGCATCACTTAACTCTAAAACAAATTTATACACGCTGATTTTAGGAAGCCCGATTTCGGGCTTTGTAAAAACCGAGTGGGCTTCGTTTATACTGTAGAATGTAACGTTTCGGGCTTGGTAATGTAGGATTGCATATCTATATAATATATATATATATTAGGGTGTCCCTTATTTTTTATTTTTTCACGCATACCCTCTAATTATATTTATTACGTGTTTATATACTCCCAGTAAAAATTTCAGCTCATTCTATAAATGGGAACCCGTGCCGACTTGCATCTGAACCCTCCGTTAGTCAACGTTAGGCGCGCGGTATTTTGTAACACGGTTGGTCGCGAGGTTCGATCGTAAGTCATTTTGTGTTTGTTATTATGTGACCCTTATATTATAAATTATTGACAAATGTTAAAATATAGTTTTATTTATATGTATACTTTGATAAAAATGTATATTTTCACAGGGAGTGGCTAGTTACCCGAAAGGGTCTGGTGAATAGGCCGTAAACTCTGAAATTGATAAACTTAATGGGTTTTACTCTAAATACCTAAAAGAGTATATTTTGAGAGATGACTACCGAAAACTTATTGAACTGTCTGAAATATTTTTGGGAGGACATCAAGAAAAGAAATGCTTATAAAAAGCTGAAATTTCATATAACAGTATATTTTAGCAATACAAATTAGTATATTATTATATTTAAGGGATAAAATCAACTAAATTAGTGAAACAAATGATAGAAACAAAAGCAATAATATTAATTAGTAATCATATTTAATAAAATCATTAGAAAAATACAGTCATGAAGTATATCTTCTTTTTAAAGTGTTTTTTTACAATTAGGATATAGATTTCTGTGCTGTTGCACGCAACGCAGAAGAAATTGTTTCTGCTCTTCATCGGCGGTTAACAAACCGTGAAAGTCCTGCATTAGCTTAGCTCAATAAGTTTTCGGTAGTCATCTCTCACAATAGACCCTTTTAGTTATTTAGAGTAAAACCCATTAAGTTTATCAATTTTAGAGTTTACGGCCTATTCACCAGACACTTCCGGGTAACTAGCCACTTCTTGTAAAAATATTCATTTTTATTAAAGTATACACATAAATAAAACTATATTTTAACATTTTTTAATAATTTATAATATAAGGTTCACATAATAACAAACACAAAATGACTTACGATCAAAATACCGCGCGCCTAACGTTGGCTAACGGAGGGTTCAGATGCAAGTCGGCACGGGTTCCCGTTTATAGAATGAGCTGAAATTTTTACTGGGAGTATATAAACAAGTAATAAATATAATTAGAGTATGCGTGAAAAAATAAAAAATAAGGGAGACCCTAATATATATATATATATATATATATATATATATATATATATATATTTATCTGAACAGGGTGTTTCTAAATATCATACGAAAGGGGCTAATCCTTTACCTTATTTCACGACCAAAAATTCATCTACATCCCACATCCGATAGATACAATAGGACTATACTTTACTTTTTTGTGGGTCTGTGTTATTTTTGTTAACTTGGCCGAAGTAAATAAATTAGATTAATTATACCCATTTCAAATTTCCACCACGGATTCGGATTCAACTACCCCATAGGTACCTTCGACATCCTAACTTTCTTGTTTTGTGGGGCTGTGCTTTTTACATTTTGCACGTTTTTACTAATAAAACGTTACTATTTTAAAAAAAGTTAAGTCTATTTAAAATATTAAGATATTTTTACTTGTTAATTTTATTATTGTAATATTTAAAAATTACTTTTCCATTTTTTCTATTTATTTATAAAAATAAATCATAATTTTAAATAACAATAATTCTGTAGGTAATTTATTAGTTAATAGTCAAGTTTATTAAAAATATATACGAATATAGGCACGTATTTTACTAATAAAACTTAAATTTTAAATAAAGGTCACCTTATTTTTACAAGTTAACTTAAATTATTGTGCTGCTTCAAAATTACAGTTCTTACAATGGGATTATTGGATTTTAAATTTAAATTGCAGTATTGGCCTATCCTGTCGTCTTCTTGGCTAAGTTTTACATACTTTTCAACGTAAGTGAATCAATTTTTTTTTAGTTTTTAATATTACATGACACTGACATTTTTTGACTTACAAAAAATGGGTTTAGTTGTACAGGGTGAACACTAAGGTTAGTGTTTTATATCGTGAGGTATATTAAGCGGTTTTAAACAAATTATAACAAAAAACTATAAATTGTATCGTTATTTTTAATTATAAAATTCAGGAGTTATGAAACGCGTATGGCGAAATATGCGTACCTACGCCAAATATGCGAGTTTAAACAAATTTGAGGTTCAAGGGTCTTTGCAACACGTTGAATCACAACCAACCGCCTCGTTGGTGTAGTAGTCAGTGCACACTTGTTTACACTTACATTGTAATAGAAATCCACCATTTTAATGTAATAAATATTTTTGATTTGATTTTGCTGCGGACTACAAGTCGAGTGATCGTGGGTTCGAATCTCACATGGCTGTTTATTTGTGTTTGTCCAGGGTTAAATGGTAGAACAGCTTATGCTGAACTTCGCCCTTTGGTCAATGATCAATAAATTAAAAAATATATATATATATTGGGGGCTGGATCACAGGGTGGCCGAAAAATCGGAGACCAACGGTTTAACATGTTGTAAGGCTCATTTTATGCATGACAAATTTTAAAAAAGAATAACAAATAGTTTTTGAGTTATAAGGGTTTTATTTAAACATTTTAAGATTATGTATGGGTGTGTGTATAAGAACCTCTGACTGACCTCATCGGCATCGTCTTACACTAATCTCCCAGACTTATTTTTACCTTATTTTAGTTTTCATACGCATCCCGCAACTGCATAGCATTACCTGTGTTTGATGGATCCGATTTTTTAGCCCGGCTGGTAAATCTCTCTTAAGAGGTCGTGGATGACAGTTTCAATGGTTAAGGCCCTTCCCGAAATGTTGTCGCCGGGCCATACGCCCGATTTAGGTTAGTGGAGTGTGGGACAAGAAGATAAAACATCTTGGACTGACCCAAAACTAAGTAAAATCCGGAATCCCCCTAAACCAAATATTTAGTAATACACCCATTCAATTGTGGTTCATGAATGGGGCTTGGATGGTTAGTTCGCTGTTTGGACCTATCCTTGCTGGTCTTGTAGTACTACGTATTTTTTTGCGTTTGTTTTTGCTGAAAATCACTGTACTAAACATTCGGAAATTGCTGTTCGCAAATTGTTTGCCCCACTATGCGAAACCATTTCTTCCGTCTAGAGTCGAGAACTATCGACAGATAGTTTTGGTTAGTTGGCAATGTGACTAATTTTTTGTATAAAATGCGGATTAGAGCTATTTAACTTATAATGGTAGTTATTAGTAATACGATTTTTACAAAATTTTGGTCAATTGGACTTACCCATCAGGTGATCATGACGCAAGAAGAAAATTTAATTTTCACCAGTGGCGTTCGTTGTTATAACAAAAAAACAACAATTTTTTTTAGAAAAATATATTAGGCAATTTTTAAATGGTCTGATAATAGCATATTGTTATTTACCATAATCGAAAACCCCCCTATACCAAATATGAAATTGATAGCAGACGTAATTAATAATTAAATCTAACTTATTATAGCACTATAAATTAATTATAACATCGGTGAATTTTATCCTATCATTTTTTTTTTCGTTTGATAGGCCGCACCATTTTATCGTTTTAGACAGCTCCAAACCTTACATTTATCCAGGTTTATTATTTCGAGCTACTTTCAGAACACTGGCATGAAGATCCATTCTAAATGCTTAAATTATTTGGGCATCGTGAATGTGTGGTACATTATTGTGAATAAAAAATATCAGTGTGCCATGACCGTTTCCATAGTAAAAAACAATTGAACTAATAAAGAAATCTGACATTTCGGTTTAAATCGATGTTATAATTAATTTATAGTGATAGAATATGTTAGATTTAATTATTAGTTACGTCAACACCCTGTATGCTATTATTTTCATATTTGGTATAGGGGGGTTTTCGATGATGCTAAATAACAATATGCTATTATCAGACCATTTAAAAATTGCCTAATATATTTTTCTAAAAATATTTGTTGTTTTTTTATTATAACAACGAACGCCACTGGTGAAAATTAAATTTTCTTCTTTTGTCATGATCACCTGATGGGTAAGTTCAATTGACCAAAGTTTTGTAAAAATAGTATTACTAATAACGGAGCTACAATATGGGAGTCATGAAAAGTGAGACACACTGTATATATATATATCTTTTTAACAAATCGCCCTATTTTTCTGTTTTTTTTTAACGAAAAAGAACTTTAAAACAGAGAGAACTGATTTAGCGGGTTTGGGTTAAGAAATCTTTTATAAAAAATTCATTTTCTCCCTAAAATTAAAAAATTTTCCTCTTGGCAACCGCAACCGGGACTTACTGTATATATAAAGATAAAATAATACAACACAATAATGCAATTTTCTAAAAAACCTAGTGTTAAACAGTAATTTTACTTTTTTTATATTTTCAATAATTATTGTGATCTTTCAATAATTATTGTGATCGGATCTGAGGCTACCAAACATGACATAAGTTACTATACTATAATATAACAAACTGGTAATATGGTCCACACCAAAAAGTCCCACCACATGATTTTGATACATAAAATTAAGGTTATCTTTCTGTTTTAAAGTTATTTCCTTTTATTTTCGGATAATAGTACAATAACACTTCGCGTAAGTGTAATTATTTTCCCGGAAATTTGAAACGCCCTGTGGGTTTTACCAGCTTTAACAGCATATGACTCATATAATTAACCTGTAGCCCTATATTTTCTAATCATTTTGTTTTTTGATTCACGTCGCTATCTATTTTTTTAAATGAGATATACGGTTAAAGACGAAATAACTCCAGTTTAATGTAAAATGAAAGAACTTAACATAGGTAGGTTATGGTAGGTCAGAAACTGTCATTTTCATTTAAGTTGTCTGCATAAAGGTATTGAAATGGAGCACCAAGTGAGAAATTTGAATCGTGATGAATGTGTAAGAATTATTACATTGGCCAAGCAAGAATTAAGCTACCGTGCCGTAGCTCATACCTCAATATCCCGTGTTATTCGACGTTTGAAAGAAACCAACGATCATAACAGACGTTATGGACAGGGAAGGCATCGAATGACAACAGCCGTACATTATCGTTTCCTTTATTTGCATGCTTTGAGAGAACGATTTGTAGCAGCAAGAAATCTAGGTACGACTTAATGCTACTCATAATTTTCAAACAAGTGTGTCCACCGTAAGAAGACGTCTTGCGGAACAGAATTTGAGCTTCAGAATTCTAGCAACAGGACCGAAGTTAAATGCAAATCATCGTAGAGCAAGATTGCAATTTGCCAGACAACATGTTGGCTGGAATATTGAGGATTGGCAGCGTGTACTATTTACAGACGAGTCCAGGTTTTGTTTATTCAGCTCTGATCGGCGAGTAAGGGTTCTCCGACGTCCAAATGAGAGATTTTCACAGTGTAACATACGTGAAACCACGCTATTAATTGGAGGTTCTGTAATGGTTTGGGGAGGAATTTCCTTGAGAGCTCGCACACAACTCGTCATTGTTCGTGGAGGTACCATGAATAGTGTACGTTATATCGATGACATTTTATCTGAGCATGTTGTCCCTTTCGCCCCGTACTGTACGGGTACATCGGTAATATTTTTTTACTGATGCAGGATAACGCAAGACCTCACACCGCCCATGTAGTGGAAGAGTTCTTACATGAGGTGGGTGTTGAAACTTAAGACTGGCCTGCAAATAGTCCGGATCTCAACCCCATTGAGCATTTTTGGGATAATATAAGTTGACGACTAAGAAATCATGATACCTTGCCTGCCTCCCTTGATGACGTAGCAAATATGCTACGAGAAATATGGAATGTCATTGATCAAGGCGAGATTAGATATCTGGTTTCGAGTATGAGCCGTAATTAGCAGTAGAGGCGGAAATACGCGATATTGATATTCTTGTTGGTTTTATTGATTTTGTTCATATTTTTATTGTTATTGTTACAATCGTTCTTTTTAATTTTTTTTATATTTATCTGGAGTTTTTTAATATTTAACTGTATATTTCTTTTAAAAATAAAGATATCGCGGTGAATTAAAAAACAAAATGTTAAGAGAAGATGGGGCTATAGTTTGATTGTAAGAGACATATGCTGTTATAGCTGGTACAACCCACAGGGCGTTGCAAATTTACAGGAAAAAACTTATTATTACTCTTGCACCCTGTATAAACTCAAAACGTAAATTTGAAAAAATATTTTAATAAAGAGATCATAACCAAATAATAAACCTACAATTTAAAACAAAAACTACCAAATTCGGTTTGACGGTTCGCGAGAAAATCAACTTTAAAATTCTGGCAAATTTTTAGTGGTGCGTTAAATTTGACGCGACGTGTATGTATTTTTGTGTTTAGAACCTTTATACACAAAAAATACTTTTACCAAAGTATCGCAAGCAACATAAATCAAACTTCGGGAATTGAAAACATTTTTTAATTTATAGTCATATAACAAGTAAATAGCTATAATTTTAAACTATTTACTTGTTGTAAAACCTTTGGTCTATATTTAATTTAAAACAGACTTTAAGACCAAAAAAAATTTAAATTACCGAAATTTGAGTTGTATAACTCAAATATGTTGCTTGCGATACTTTGGCAGAAAGTCGATATATTTTCAGAAAATTAGACGAAATTAGCTTGACACTGATAAAAATATAACCTTAATTATATCAAAGTATCAAATTGTATAATTGTATAATTGTATAATTGTATCAAAGTCACGTACTTTTTGGTGTGGACCATACCACAATCGACAAAACAAATCGTTTTAAATTTTGTGTTTCTTACAGAGGCACTTGTAAGCCCTGAATAAGGCATTAAAGGACAACCATTTTACTCCTTTTATAAAAATAAATCCTATTCAGGCCTGCCATCAAACTGTCAAATGTCAATTTTAAGGTTAATTTACCATACCCGCA